GCGAAATGTATAAACACATGCTTACTTTCTAGGTGTCGACCATACCTGAACCAAATAACTAAGGTCTCATTATTCTTAAATGCGATGTTGAGCCACTTTTCACATTTTGAACTCCGAACCATTCCGGAGTGCTGGCGCCCGGGGAGAATTTCACCCACCCCCAAACAAACCACAAAGACCCCAAATGCAAAGGTTTTTAGGCCAATGGATTTGTCTTCCACTGGTTTAAAATGAATGAAGCGGTGATTTCTACATCGCCTTCATTTATCTCTCACCACCCCCGATGACCTTTATCAGTTCACACACACACACACATCTAACCGCTCTACACTGGATGCTGTTTCTTTTCTGTCGTTCACTCCATCTGCAAGTTCATAAATGAGAAAGACAAATATGTGCGCTCTGCATTTCTTGACTATCCTTTGTTTTCTGTCTGGGTGCCTCATTCTCTTTTACTTAACAAGCTGCAATTGTTTGGTTGTTCCACTTCCATACTTAAGTGGCTTGTTGAATACTTTTTGTAAAGATATCAGTATGCCGAATTGGGAAAAAGACAGTCAGAGACATCACTCAATCTTTCGGATGTACTTCAAGGTGCCATCCTATCACCCTATCTTTCTGTGACTTATATCATTGACTTGCCTATTACTCCCCTAGTACGACAGTTTAAGTATATTGATGATATTGCCGTTTCTGCTTCCTTATATAACCAATCAGAAATGACTGCATATAACACTAACCTCGTAACGTATTCGACTTTATCGAAACATATTTCGAATGTATTTTTATTTTAAGCCGTTACCATTCTCCCTTTGTCAATTTATAAATTCAGGGAAAGCCTAAGAACAGCGTCAGTCATGTGAAGTACATAGGTATCACACTTGAAAGTAACCTTCGTTGGTATTGACCCACCCAGACTGTTGCTCACGAGGTTAAATTTCTCTTCTTTCAGATAAGACGTTTGCTTTACATCTGTTCTGATTTTTCGGTGATTGGAAATTTTCTTCATCATTGTGTTCTTCTTATAACCCTTTACTGCTTCCTGTGATTTTTCCTGGTTTGCTGAAAGCTGCCTAAGCTTGACCTCTAAATGGTAATTCATGTTGCCCAAGTTTGCGTATCTTTTCTGATAGACAATACCTCTGATGCTCATTCATATTGATGGTTACTTGAAGTTTGCTTAGAATATCTTCAATCTGATTTTACCCATCTTTTAATTGTTGGCCTGTGTGAATACAAATCTCACCCCTCACCAAATTCCTGATTCATCCCATCTGGAATTTCTGCCTACAGAAGCTCCTCGGTACTCTAGCTCACCCGGATAGCGACCGACAAAGATACTGTTTGCACTGTGCTTCCTGATGCATGTTCTTGTAGGTAAATTAACATTTTACACGCATTATAATCACTTTCCCCT